AAAATACTTTCATTTTTTCGTTGTTTATAAGATTTAAATTGCGACCAAATATTGTCATCATTATCTGGTGGCAAAAAGTCTTTCTTTAATCTCTCTACAAGAGATTTCCAATCTATAACATGTTGTTTAATACTTCGGTACCAAATAAAAGCATTTCCGGTAAAAAGTTCTACTGCGGAAGAAAATAAATCTTGTTCACTAACTTTACGTGATTCAGAAAGCTCAGTAACAGTTTCTAAAAATGAAAATAAATCTTGAGGATTACCATTAAATTTAATAGGCCAGTCTGACACTGGACAAGGTTTAGCAACATAAGTCACAATAGGAGGCGGTACATTAATAACCGGTCCTGAAGGGACAGAACTAACATTTAAAATTTCATTTGTGTCAGAAATTTTTGAAAATAAGTCAGCTTCAAGTTGATAACAACTAGTATAAACATCAGTTTGAATAGTCTCTGCATCAGCACGATTTTCATCTAAAATTATTCTTCTAATTCTACCAGCCAAATGTACAAGACGAGATTTTATAACTTTAAACATTGAATCATTTACTCCACCCTCGAATTCAGAAATTGACAAAGAAATTGAATCTAAAGTTGCTTTAATTTCGAAAATTTCTTGATCAAAAGAAAGAGGATAATTTTCCATATTAACTAAACAAAATGGGTTATTAATTTCTCTACTTAAAAGACCTGACAAAATTTTACGTTTACTATCAACATTTTTAGATGTCTTAATACCCCTAATAAGAAGTTCATAATCTAATTCTACTTGTCGTAAATGATTAACTTTAAAAGATTCTTTCTCCATTGTAATTCAGTTATATAAGATATTAAAGACTAAATGATTCAGAAAAATTTACTAATTTTAACAAAAAGTTGTTATGACTCGACGCAATCTATCAGAAAGAAATTATGTTCAATGTCAAAACCAAAAAAGACTCAAATATTCAAAACAAATTCCAAAATTTTACGAAGTACTAACAACGCGACCCTGTAGACTAAATTATGTCCACTCTGTATATTCAAAATATAACCTTACCTGTATATTTATATCAAGATCAAAATTTCAATAAACTATGTAGTCAGAAGTATCAAGTTATTTATCTCTGAGTTTTAAACCGATAAACAAACACCCTCTATAACATAAAAAACAAAAATTGCTGTTGTACTGAAATTATAAAAATTAAATTACAGAAATAATGAAAACAACATTTCAAAACTATAGTCTTTGCCTTAAAGATAATTTATCTGAGCCTAATAGAAATTATTTTACTAAATTAAGTTTACCAATAAAAGTCAAACAAAATAAACTAAGTTGATCCAATTAAATAGAACATGAGCCAATCAAATTAAGCTGAACCATTCAAATTAAGCTGAGTCAATCAAATTAAGCTGAGCCCCACGTTACAGGGCGTCATATACTTTATTCTTCTATGTGTGACGATTTTTCTGTCGTTACCCAAATAGAATAAAAAAAAATCCGTTGCTCAGGGTTAGAGGAAAGCTGGGTGCGTAGGTAAGGCTTCTGACTCACAGTGACTTTCTAATGTTGTTAAATATTAAAATAAAAAAATGATAATATATAGGCTGCAGAGATTTTAATATTGATGTTAAGAATTCAAATAGGTGTGGTCAAAGACAGTGAAAAGGGCGCCACTTACTTTGTTTATGAGAGTGGTAAAGTAAGAAACCAAAAAGAAAAATACGATATCACAACATAGCTAAAATAAAGTAATCAACAACATTAAGGGTCTATTATGTTTATCAGGAATAAAAGTCAGAAATAACTATCCTATATTAAACATTTATTGAAAACGAACACAAGTATCATCAATTAGTCACAGTGATCCCAATAAAACCGCAAGTTATTTTAAATAGATTCGAATTTAGTAACTGTATTCTTTGAACTAAGTAAGCTACTTAATATAAAAACAGGTGAAATTTATGTATGTCTCAATACGATGATGTTTCGAAACATGTCGTGTACAAAAACCTTTAAAATGAATACGTGTTAATAATATTCATATAAAATATCATAGCTAAGTAAGAGTGTACTGTACGAATCAAATTATAACTTATAACGTTAAATAAAAAATAATTTCGACTACAATATGTGGGATAAATAGTGATAATTTACCAGGTTATTAAATCTGTTGTCTCAAAAATTATAAAATAAAAGCGTACCTTGTGTATCAAACTTAAGAGAGATTTATCTGTATATAGTTTCTTATGATGTAAACAGGTAGGTAGGTATTCTCCAGACTAACAGAAGTGGATGCAGATGACTATGGTAGGAGAAGTCTTCGATATCAGCCAAAAGAACGATTGTAATGTCAGGAACACTGTCTTAAGGTCTGCATAGGTCCATACAAAATGAGAGTGGGTGAAACATACAATAATTACTGCATTATTACTTCATATCATGTGGTAATTACTGAGTACCATGTGGTAGTTACTGGTCTGAAAATCAGCTTTACATAAATATATTCAAACCATATGCCGATCCAAACCAGTAATTAAATACTCAAATGAACGAACGGAAATAAGGTGATCATTCCAAGAAGAAACCAAACAAATACGATCTATACTCTGGATTGCATACTTTACAAGGTTTTCAAATTCCCAAATCGGATACCCATGCAATGCAAATCGAAAAGTGGATTCAGAGTGCTTTTCACTGGAAAATTTGTCGGACGCCGAAACACGCGTCTTCTCCAAATTCTCAGAAAAAAGACCTTCTTCTCAGTTTCAGAACCGAAGCTAAAACCTTTTCACCACAGACAAAATGAGAGAGAAAAAAGTGATATCATATGATCGAAATCATTAGAACAGAAAATCGTAATCCACAGCGAAGTGAGATTCGGACAAGTGAAATGCAATTAAGGAAGTTTGGCATATAGCGAATAGATGGCGCTAATAAACAAGACAAGTGAACTGTAATAAATGAACTTTGACATCTAGCGAATAGATGCGCTAATAAAAATTAAATATCGAGACAAGTGAGCTGTAACAAATGGAGTTTGGTATCTTTGGCATCTAGCAAATAGATGGCGCCAATACTAAGAAATTTAAATAAAAATAGATTTTTAAATTCAATTTTATTAAAGGAAATAAAAAATGCTACAATATGGTTAGCGAAACGCGTGTCCAGTGTAAAAGTAAAATTGTATTGTGGTAAATTAGTGATTTATTTTGCTGTTGTAACACCAAAGGGTACAACCGCCAACTGTAATAAAAAATATTGAGATGAACCAAGAAACAGACTACCGAGAAAGGATGTGTCTAGATGATAAAATTATTTTTAAATATCTTACTTTGCGCAGGGTGTTTCACATTTCACCAAAATATCAACATTTTGTTTTTCTTACTATAACTGACAGATCGTCACCCTAGAATAAGATTGTTCTATAGACCATTTCGATGAAACTGAGAAAACAAGGTTTAAAGTTTAAACCGGAGATCCGTGAACACTATATACTAAAATGGTTCTATTAAACATATAAATTAAAGGTAATATAAAAACCTGTCAAACATATGTTTTTATTTTACTTTTAGAAGCTTTATTTAAAAGATATATGTGATTTTAGGGATAGAGAACAAAATAAGGGGATATAGGATAATATAATACTTATTTTAAGCTGATTTATTTGTATTTCAAAATATTATTTCAACACAAAATAACTGAAGTGGAGACATTCGAATTTGCTAACAAATCAGGCAATCAGTAGTGCTTTTCAAACGAATGATTGAGCAGTCAAATGAGTTGAAGCAGCTGGTTTCACGAAATGCCAAAGTGTGAAACATTCGAATTTGCTAACAAATCAGGCAATCAGTGCTTTTCAAACGAACGATTGAGCAGTCAATAGAGTTGAAGCAGCTGGTTTCACGAAATGCCAAAGTGTGAATCATTCGAATTTGCTAACAAATCAGGCAATCAGTGCTTTTCAAACGAACGATTGAGCAGTCAATAGAGTTGAAGCAGCGGTTTCACGAAATTCCAAAGTGTGAAACATTCGAATTTGCTAACAAATCAGACAATCAGTGCTTTTCAAACGAACCGATTTGCCGCCTATTTGTCAAACGAACGTTTAGTGGTGCAATTTCCCCCGCTTAAAACAAAACCCTTAAATTTAAATAAAAACACTTATAAATACATTGTACGTTAGAGAGAAAGAGATCGAGAATAAATGGATATAGTAACATATTGTTTGATCTGGTATTTTCGTTCCATATCCACTTCTTAGGATAAAGAACACAATAATTCTATTTTTTTTATTACATACTGTAAGATGTAGCCTTAAATAGTGATTTTTGGATGTAGGCCATTATATGGTTTCGCGACTTTCAAATTAATATGGATATAGTACAAAATATTAGATTTTTTTTTCTTAATTTGTGAATTTGGCTATATTGTTTTTGTGGATATAGAACAAGCTAATTCTGCATAAAAAAATGGTGTATGTAACTCATTTTACCCCAAAAGTGGATATAGAACAACCTAATTCTAGGGTGACGAGATGGCAACTTTCATTTTTAATTTAGAAAGGGATACTAAAAAGTAAAATAATTTAGCTGAAAATTGCTTAAAAAATCATCAAAATCGGCCCACTAGAACAAAATATATTAAACTTTAAAATACAATAAAATACAATAAAGAAAATTAAACTTTAAAATACAATACAAAAATAGGTTTCTCTAGTTGTTTACTTAACGGCATTGTCCACTGTAGATAACTTTGCTTGAAAAAAGAACACCTTAGTTTGAAATTGGTGTGACTCGCCTTGTATATTAACAAAAATATTTTTAAAATATGCACAGAATATATGCACAAAATACTTTTAAAATATCCAGTTCAACTCACACTAATTGTACCTAATAAATAAATTTGACTGGATTCCACACTTTTGTAGTTCAGCGTTCTCACATTAACTTATATTGTGTCAACTGAATATTTAAAACTCATAATGTTTATTAGTCAGCATATATTTTTATTTACCTCAGCGTAAGCTTTGCCGTATGTTGTTGGCACAATTTCCCAAAAAGCTGCACCGTGACCGGCAATGATCCACATCATTGTTATGAACTTCAACCCATTGAAACATAGGATTTGTTCTGAATTTCCTTTCGATGTATGAAAAAGCTTCTTTCCATTTGTAAAAACAGAAAATGCTACTAAGTAGGGACTTTTAACTTCTAAAAAAATAGTAAATTTACAGTTAATAGGTATAGATAATTTTGTATAAGTCGTGGTTTTCTGATTAATGGACCTTAATGGAGTCCCTCGCCAGGGCTTTTAGTTTTTTCTCCCTGATGATGAATTTTTTAGTGTTATTTTCTTTAGTGAGATTTGAAAATTTAATCAGGACATGAATCAAAATCGTATTAAATTTAAACAGAAAATTAAACCTTTCATCTGTTTTAGGAAAAAAATAGAGCACCCATTGAAACCATGTAGCAAAAGTTTTCGTTAATTGAGAACAATATGTTGACTAATGTTAACTTGTGTTTAAATTTCATTCAATAAACAAAAATGAAACGACAAATATTGATATTTTAGAATATTAAAATTATTAAATTGTAGCTCTAATAGTCCTTCAACGAACTCAAAACTTACAGTTCGTAAAAATTTAATCGTTTAGCTACATTACTACGTGTCGTATGTGGTGAACAATCCTGTATATATTTGGAAAGCAAACTCTTATATCAGAAAAAAAAAATATCTGAGGAACTAAGGAAAGGCATAAACGCATAAAAATGAAATAGATTCTTAAAGTTCTTAAACTTTGGTTGCCAACTGAAAACATAAATATATATATTGAGAAAGCCAATGATACTTACTTTGTTCGTTTAAATGAAAATAGACGTCATAGGCTGTCTGGAAAAGCATGAAGGCTACAACAGTGGCTATGATTGCTCTAAAATAAAATTTGAAGGATATATTGTTATACATACCCGGTGTTGCATCGTCGGACGGGACATAGGAAATCCCATGTAAATTTTACTAGGGTCAATTATTGGCTTCCCTAATTATTTTAGAGAATAATTCTATTTAGGTTTACTGAGGAGCACTAAAACCCACATTCAAAAGAATAACTTTAGATAATTTTGATTAGCTCGTATACGAGTTATCGCCGATTTCTTTTTAAATATTTCTCCTTTCTTATAGCCCTGTATTTACTTATGACCACCAGTGAAGGTAAAAGATAACTGTCAAATGAAGTTGTCATTTCAGAAATTTACCTATTTACTGCTTTATTATTATTGAAAACTCATTCCTACATCGGAAATCTTAAAGATGTATTTATAAATACAAATTAATATGAATTAAAGTAAAATAAAGTAATCAATTACAAGGTTAATTATAGTATTATTACAATATTCAATAACTTTGTTAGAACTTTAGGATTTAAGAAGATGTTCAAATATTCCTCCATCGACTGCTAGACAATAACCCAGGCGATCATAAAATTTTCTTCTTAAATTCGCTAGTTGGTAAACTGAAATTCTATTGCATTCGGCAGAAATAGCATTTTTTAACTCGTCCAGATTTGGGAATTTTTTATCCTTGTATATCTTTTTTTTAAATGGCCCCAGAGAAAGAAATCATTGGGCGAAATATCAGGAGACATTGCTGGCCAATTTACTGTATGATTTAGGCCAATAACGTTTCCGATAAAACTATTGTCTAAATATTCCCGAACAGGGTACTATATGCCGGGCAGCCATCCATTTGGTGCCAAACTTCCTGATTTTCCCTAGCGGCATCATGTAAAGCAGGTAAAATACGATTTTCGAGTAGTTCCAAATAATATTCTGCATTTAAATTTCGCGTAAGAAATAATGGCCCGATAATATTGTGTCCGGATATCCCTGCCCCAACATTTATTTTCTGTGGATATTGCGTCCTTGTTTCAACAAACCTGTGTTGGTTTTTTTTGTTCCAATATCGATAATTTTGAACATTGGGTTCATTATTTAAGGTAAACGTGCATTTGTGAGTGAAACATATGTTTTTTAAAAATTCCCTATCCGTGTTTGCTCTTTCCATCATATCAAAACAAAACGCCTGCCGCCGTATTTCGTCCCCGTCTCGTAGCTCTTGGTGCTTTTCATATTTGAAGGAATAGTATTTATGTCGTTTCAAAATTCGAAACGCTGTAGTGTGATCTATTCCTATTTCATCCTCAACTTTCCTTGTGCTGAACTTTCCATCGTTCTCTTCCACGCACAATAAAACTTCCAAGTCGGTATCATTTCTTACATCTTCTCTTTGTTCCTGCCTTGCTTCACATCTGCAGTTATTTATTAGGGTACCTTTGGTCTCAAATCTCTGGATATTCTTTGCGATTGTAGATTTTCCAGGTATCGGTATATTCGGATACAGAGCAGCAAACATGTCCGACACCTTTTGATATCTATTTCCTTGATAATACAATTTAATCATCAATACTTTTTCTTCGGTAGTGTAATTCATGGATAATATTTTCGATGTAGATATGAGTTTTTAATAATAATAATAAAGCACTAAGGAGATAAATTTCTGAAATGACAACTTAGTTTGACGGTTATCTTTTAACTTGACTGGTGCTCATAAGTAAATACAGGGCCATAAGAAAGGAGAAATATTTAAAAAGACATCGGCGATAACTCGTAAACGGTCTAATCAAAATATTTTTAAGTTATTCTTTTGAAATGTGGATTTTAGTGCTCTTTAATAAACCTAAATAGAATTATTGTCTAAAATAATTAGGGAAGCCAATAATTGACCTCATTAAAATTTACATGGGATTTCCTGTGTCCCGCTCGACGATGCAACACCCGGTATATGCTATTGGTGGTCAATACTACCGTGTAGGATTGTTTAAATCAAGTCAATAAAATTGTCATATTTTAATTGTAAATAAAATTAAAGTAGAAACTATATTTCTATAATAGCAATTCTAAATTTTCTTGATACATATAGTTAATAGGAAACGAGGGTTGTATCACTGTTGGAATTACATGTACATATTCTTGGCAGTCGCTGACATCACTCTTACGGCATGGCAGTCGACTATAATTATATGGCAGACATAAGGTGTGATTTCCTAGCGACGGACGTCTGCCATGGCGTTCGCGTCCCACTGCACAGTAGTTCGTTTTCCTATAAAGTGATACATTACTTTTCATTGATGAATGGTTAATAAAATACAGGATTTGGCCAGGTAGTTCATAAAAACGAACCAGTGTGGGGTGCGGCGGCCCGCGGACGCCAGACGTCGCGCGTCGCTAGGTCGCTAGCTAAATCACACCTATAGGCAATATTCTTCGCAGTCATTGACAGTCGCTTGGTAATGAAATTGAAGGGTTTGGTGCAAAAACCGGTCACGGACACTTTTTGTCATAGCTTCAGCTGGGATTGGAGCGAGAACCGTACATGTGTCGTGTAGGAAATTCTATTTAAAACGACATGGTGACTTATTGCATCAAATTATTATGGCGTAGTCCTAACGATCGATATTATTGGTTGTAATAAGCGGTCACGTGTAGCATGTTGTTCCTGTTTTGAATATAGGGGAAATATTTTATGCTATATATAGGGCAGATCTGGGTTTGCAATTAGCTTTTTTATTCTTGTTCTAATCTAATAACAAATCAGTTAGTATGACGAAACTGTTGCAAAAAAAAATTCCATAGAATCTATTGTTTTGTGGCACATAAATAAATATATTAGCAGTTCAGTTTTTGTTTTGCATATCTTTACTGACAACTGTGGGGGCAGAATAAAAATGCGGCTATGGTTCATTTTCTGTCAACTTTGATTAATAACGGAAGATTTTCTAAAATAGTTCATTTGCCAGAGCCAGGTCACAGATTTTTGCCATGCGACCTTGTTTTTTCTGTTCAAGTTGAAAAAAGGAAGCCTAAGAAAGAGGTTTTGTATTTTGAAGAATGGTATTCGTTAGTAGAGAACTGTGGTAAGAAGTTTACCGTTCGATAGTGTTCGATTTTAAAGCATATCTCGAGCTTTTTTTTAAATCTTCTGTAGGTAGTTAAAAAACACCTTTTTACATTATCGAAACATAGAGTATTTAATATGATTCTGCAGCTCCTGAGAACATTTCGGTAACCCAGATATACAACCCTGCCCTTATAATCGCATATCCTTTAAATAAATGTTCAGGTACCATTATTGATTTAAACGGAGCTCCTCTAGCTTATAACGAAAAACTTCCTCTGAAATCAGCAAATACGACAGTATTATGCCGTTAGTAAAAAAATATGTGCCCCCTATTTGTCAAACATTTTATGATACGATCATAAGGGCAAATGATTCTGGTCGCGCAAATAATGAGTCATGGACCGTCAAGAACGTTGATAGACACCGTATAGATAGTAGTAGAAGGCCGAAGACCCAGAAGACGATCACCATCAAGATGGCTTGACCAATATTACAGGTCATCAATTTCAATCAAATCTCCAAGAGGCGGAAGATCGCCAATAATGGAAAATCAAAATCACTAGCTGCACATAGCCATAATGTCACGATTCTTCAGACATGAAGAGATGACGAAGAAGAAGAACTGGAAACGCCAAAAAAAAACCCCACGCCCTTCTCACGAGTAGTTTTCAAGCGCTTTTAGGAACCGAAAGTAGGTCGAGGCAAACCAAAGTGGGTCAAGATAACTAGAAATAAACAGCAATGCGACAAAGTTGTTCGACGAAACGCGGCCTTGACCTGCTTCGAAGAGTTTTCCGCATAGAAGGTGTTTTACGCTGGTACCACTCTTGCACCGATAAATCATGGACTTTTGAAGACTACAACATTTTACTACTTTACTAAATAGTTATTTTCCAAACGAAAATTGGTTATAACTGTTGAGCTTCAGCTACTAATTAAAAGATGGCGCATGAATGTAGAAATAGCACTTGTAACATTTTTTTCTGGATAGATATACCTAGAGTTTAACAATGTAGTTTTGAACTTATCTGTCATTCTAAGAAAATGTAACTTGTAGCATTTTCCCACCGAATGTACACGTGAGGGGGCTCAGACTACATATTTTACCTAAGTGAGACAACCCTCAATATGAAATGTTAAGGTTGTCATAAAAATTCCTTTTGATATAAAATTATTAAACATAATTGTCTAGGGAGCACAAACTTCTCTATCTATGTGGGAGTTGTTGGAACATTTGGTGTTACAAAAGCAAAATATATACTAATTCACCACAATAGGTACACCAAAAACTTGTTTGCACTGTAGATTTTTGCTTTGCAGATGGTTAAAACTAAATTAATATCTATAAATTGACCGTTTATATAGGCGCTCAGTTAACAATTACCAAACCTAGAAAAAGTAGGCAAGCGAGTGAAAACCAACCGAGCGTAAAAATTAATTACCGAGATTAGAGCAATAATAACAGAGAATAAGAAGAAAAATTCCTTCTAGACCATTATCTCTGGTTCTATCTAGAAATCATGCTGGATACCAAACTGACATTTGGAAAATGTAACAAGGAGGGCGGTGACTACACTAGCGGTAGTCAGACGACTTCATCGAAAAATCTGGGGCCTCAGACCACAAATGGTGCCCTGGCTGTACACTGGATTGGTGAGGCCTTCAGTAATATATGCATCCTTGGTATGGTAGCCTAAGGTAATGCAACAAACAACAATGCTCAGCCTTAGTAAGGTGCAAAGACTTGTTTGTCTGAGCATAACAAGGGCGTTGAAATCAACGCCCACTGTATCAATGGAGGCGCTTCTGGACCTTTCGCCTCTTCACATAGTGATCCAGGCGGAGGCAAGAATGGGACTCGACAACAAAGTGTCTTGTTTCTGGCAAATAGGACCGAAACAGGACACTTAAAGATGGGATATTCTATCGGAGCACCTCTACTCCAAATGAGATCGGACCAAATGACCCCTCTTTATCACTACCACAAACCATTCGAGGTGAACAAAATGGCTCGAGGAATGTGGTCAGATATAACATTCCTTCAGGATGGACTAACCTGGTATACAGACGGGTCAAAGACCGCTGAAGGAACAGGAGCTGAAATATTTGGGAAAAGACCAAGGGCAAGCTTATCCTTTTCCTTGGGTAAACACTCAACCGTATTCCAGATAGAAATCTTCGCTATTCTACAATGTGCTAGAGAAAACAATAGAAGAGCTTATTCAGGTGAGCTCATCAAGGTATCGTCGATATTCGTCTGGGAATGTCTGGGTGAACTGGGAGCTCTGGCACGAAAGAACAGAATTAAATTATTCTGCCAGCACAGCAAGGCTTTTATCCAAGGACCTAGTTCGAAAACCGCAAAAGAACTGCTAATGATTAGCAGGAATAAAGTGCGGATTACAACAGGCCTTTTGACAGGACACATGGCTGTCAAGTGTTACCTGAACAAGCTCAACCTGTATCAAGGAAGTCTTTGCTTTAGACTCTGCGATAAAGATCCTGACACAGCGGTGCACATAATATGTCATTGCGAGGCTCTGGATCGCAAACGACGCTATTTATTTGGGAAAGCTAGGCTAGAACATGCTCCCATCCTATCAAGGACCTGCATAAGCTAGTGAAGGGCACAGGGATAGGAAAATGGGTGCAGGTATAGAAAGGGGACAAACACAATAGGCCTCACAGGTCGCAGTGTTTCCGGCAGAGGAGCCATCCTTGAGTGTTTCCGACAGAGGCCCCTTGTTATGGAAACATAATAAACATACATAAATTATCTCTGTTCATATTATCATTACAATTTTATTAATTTTGACGCTCTCATAGGTAGTGGCATTTTCTCCGCTTCTTTTAGGAATTCTCTCTATACACGGTAAACGAATTTTCGGAGAGTGAACAGTGGCACTCAAAAGTTTTGCAAAATTTTCCGAAAAATGTCAAGAAAAATATAAAATTTTCAACAAAACAAACAAAGTTACAAAAAAAACTCATAGGCGTTTTTCTGGGGTTCAACTATAGTACCAGTTAAAATACTCGCATTAATTTCTGGGATACCCTGTATAATAAAGTACTATTAAAAAGTACTCATGATATTTTTTCACTCACAATGTAACAATTGCTCCAGTGTCAAGCTCCGTATTGTCTTCTTTTGTTGAACATGCATACTGATTCAATATTGGCTCTGGTAATATTTGACTTAAGTCCTCAGATGTGCACTTGTCTGGTATACATGTAGCTAATTTATATGAATCCTTAAAATTAAATAATTATGTATTAATATAAATTTTACAAAAATAACAATTTTAAGATTCTTATGACTTATTTTTACTTGAAGGAAAATTGAGAAGCTAAAGGGTTACAACAAATTAATTATTGTATATATGTTATATATATGGTTAAAGGCCGAAATGGAGATAATATCAGTTAATGTCGACATTAACAAGTTAATGTTTGCATTTGGTTTTGTTTTTGTTTTTTTATATTATTCTCGGGATTAACAGGGTAAAATAGACCAATACCTTTATAAATTATAGCAATCGTTGTCTACTAAGCACAGAAGCAAAAGGTTTTTAATTATTATTAATATTATTTTCAGAAATTACTTCTGGATATATGATATTTTTAGTTAAAAGCGGATATTTTTTCTTGGCATTTAAATTGAGTATTATGAAATATTTCTGAAACTAGAATTAAAAATGTAATAATATAGATGGTATTTTATTTATAAACCATAACATATATTTCCTATTTATTTGGGATTTGGGACACCATATTAAAATAATTTTAAATTGTAGCTCTATTAGTCCGTAGGCCACCACTCAGAATTTTCAAAAACCTAATCATTTGGCTACTATACTTCGTGTCGAATAGCGTGAATAAGGCCGTGGCCCAACATAAAGCTGGTAGCGTAGCGTATGGCGATGGCGGAGAGGAGTGCGTACAATGTGCGAAAATACGCGCCAATCCGCGATATGCTACACTGTATATCCTGTCCGCTCTACGCTACGAGTTCTGTGGTTCACTACACTGTGGTTCCGCTTGCGATCATAGAGAAACAAATGTCAAATTCTTTAAAAATGCCCGAACTTTTGAAATTTAAGTTGCAAAATCTTGTTCATCACACTTTTATTTAGTTTTCGTTCGTCAAAGTATGAATTTTGTAAAATATAATTTTATCGTTGTTATATAAGTAGGCAATTGACGATTTTTGTGTTCTTTTCTACCTCAGTTTCATTAGTCTTAAGAAAAAAGCCGTGAAATAAAGTTTTGTTATAATGGATAGGGAAGTCAAAGGTTGTTACGGTTAAAGTACGATGACCGGTTAATGTCGACATTAACAGGTTAATGTTTGGGTTTGGTTTTGTTTTTGGTTGTTTTGTTGTGTGTTATTCTCGAAATTAACCGGGTAATGTAGATATTAACCGAATACCGGACCTTAGCCGTAACATATATATTTCTTATATTTTACTCTACTATTCTATACTGCCATTACTCGCTGACGAGTATTCGACACGCATCAAAAGATGGTCACGCAAGGCGTTTTCTTTCATGAGCTTTTCTGTGACTGAAAAGCCCGATACGTGATGTTATTTGCCTACCGCACTCCGGACATTCAAAAATCTCATTGCTTTGTTGCCTCTTTATTTTTTGGGTGTCGCTGTTAGCCGAGTTTACAATTCTTCTCCATTGAGTTCTATTGTTAACTGCTTCTTCCCAATGATTCTGCATATTAATCCCCTTTAAGTTTTCATGAAAAATGTGCTTGTACCTTTTGAGTTGTCCACCCGGCCTCCTCTTACCGTCTACAAGCTCACCGTAAAGCAGAGATTTTGGTATGCGGTTTTCTTGCATTCTGCATACATGACCAGCCCATGTTAAGCGGGCTTTTGTAACCATAACTTCAATACTCTCACAGTTAGCTTTTTCAAGGACCGATACGTTTGAGACATGATGGAACCACCGGATTTTTAAGAGTTGTCTAAGGTGTCTCTGTTGCAAGTTGTTTAATACGTTCATGTGTCGGCGGTACGGCACCCAGGTTTCGCTCCCATATAACATGGTGGGGATTATAATTGCTCGGTACACTGCAAGTTTTGTTTTTGTACTCAAGTCATGATTGTAGAAAACCTTGTCTTTTAATTTCCAGAATGCTCTTGAGGCGCTGCTAATCCTGTGCTGAATTTCAGAGTCGATATTGGCCTTTTCCGAAATCAAACTGCCGAGGTAATTAAATTCCGCTACATATTCCAATAGTTCTTCTCCGATTTTTATAGCATTGTTATGATCTTTTAGGGGAGTGCACATGATTTTGGTTTTGTCGATGTTTAGCTTAAGACCCAAAGCCTCGTATGCCCAGGTATATGTGTTCAACATTTCTTGAAATAGTTGTAACGTGTTTGCAACTAGAGCGCAGTCATCAGCGTATTGAAGTTCTGTGATGAATTTTGTACGTGTTTTTGCCCTGAGTCTTTTTATGTTGAACAGACCGCCATCATATCTGTATCTAATGCCCAATCTTCTCTCCTGCAGTTTGCTGTCCACTATAATGGAGAGCGCTGCCATGAATATGTTGAATAGGAGAGGCGCTAATACACATCCCTGCCTAACTCCTGTATTTGTCAGGAAGGGATCGCTCAGTGATCCATGATGTGACACTCTTGACTGGTTGTTGTTATGGAGGCTTTTACACACTGTAAGAAATTTGTTGGGTACACCGAACTTTTTCATAATTGCCCAAAGTGCATCTCTGTTCACAGAGTCGAAGGCTTTTGTTAGATCTATGAATGCAACGTAGAGTTTAGACTGCTGCTCTTTTACTTTTTCTTGTAGTTGGCGGGTGGAAAATATGGAATCGACGGTGCCACGGTTGGTGCGAAAACCCGTTTGCGATTCTGGAAAGTTTTTTTCTATATGTGGGTGCAGGCGATTTGACATAATTTTTGCAAGAATTTTTCCTCCGATAGCGAATATTGAAATTCCCCGGTAATTTCTGCAGTCTGATGCACTTCCTTTGTTCTTAAATATATTCACTATATTCGCGTTGCGAAAGTCCTGAGGTACCTCTCCGCTTTTCCATATGACATAGAAGAGAGCCTTAAGATGACCAATAAGTTCTTTACTTGCACACTTATAGATTTCCGCCGGGATCGCGTCACTGCCAGCTGATTTGTTATTTTTAAGCTGTTTTAGGGATGCTATTATTTCCTGTTCTATTATTGTGGTATCTAATACATCGAGGCTGTTATACTGAGGTATTGTGTTTAGTGCTTCTATATTGGGGTTGTTTTCTTGGTTAAGGATATGGCTGTAATGCTCTTTCCTGCAGTTTCTAATTTACTCTTCCTCTTTTAGAAGTTCGCCATTTTGTGTCATGATTGGGCAGCTTACCTTCTTGGTTGGGCCGTATACTTCTTTTACAGCCTCGAAGAATTTACAATAATCGTGACGCGTGGCGTACTCTTGAATCTGATTAGACTTTTGTGACCACCAATCATCCTTTAATTGGCGCAGGTTTCTTCGAAGCGTGTTGTTGGCTGCTTTAAAGTTGTCTACCAGCCTTGGATTGTGTGGATTTGCAGTGACTGCTTGATGTGCTCTATATTTTTGTTCCAACAAGGTTCTGAATATCGGACCTCAGCCGTAACATATATATTTCTTAGATTTTATTCAATCAAAGAAGAAATATTTATTATAGAAATATATCTGCAAGAGTGCGTTTCTACCCTCAATTTTAGTTTCTGTTTTTTCAATACTTTAAATGTGGCCAAATATCGCCGGACATATATAAAAAACCTAAAACTCACCCCACCACAAAATTATTTAATTTTGTATTTTTTGAATGTTTATGGGAATTAAAAATAAACCTTAATTTTTTTTATTGTTTTTTCATGAATATTTTTGTCTGATACAAATTAAATATTCACAATTTTAAAAACAAGAACGAAATGTCCATCTGAGACTCCATTTTTAATAATACGTTTTATAAATTTTGCTCTTTTGATTGTTGTTAAGAACGTTTTTTGAACCAAATTTTTAACTGTAAAATCCCTACTTTTGGGGCTTACTCAACCGGGTCCCACAATGCAAATTCACCTCAAATATCCATTTAGTTGGTCATTGACAAGCACTCTCTCATTGTACATGAAAATAACAAAACAAACCTTTACTGATCTGGATAAAATTGATAGTTAAATAGTAAGACTCACCCGGGGGTACTCCGCCCCCTAGCCACTGTTATCTCTGATATTCTTTTCAATATATCCCATTCCATATCTTCCATCTAATTCAAATATTATTCGGATCTATTAGTTAATAATCTTCAACAACTAGCTAGTATCACCTAAAATAGTATCAGGGCTTCCCCCGGACGCAATTCTGCCGCTAAACAGATTCGCATCCCAATCGAATAAGCTAATTGGGGTAGCTCACTACCCCAACGCCGCATCGTCAATCGAGGAGACATTATGGAGACCTCAAACTCTCAAGACCAACTCGAAGGCAGGACGTCACAAGAGGTTTTCTTCCTGTGGTCAAACGACCCCGTTGGCTTACGGTCAAACGACTTGCAACTATGTTAGTCAAAAGACTCGCAACCCCCATTTGTCAGCTCTGTGACAAAACACAGCACTACACAGCCGGCCGACCTATCTACTATTGACTGACCTGCCGCGCGCCGGCAAGCTAAGCCTCCTCTTACATCACAATTTTACCTGATCACAAATATTTACATCGCTTGCCAATGAATCATACTATTTTTTCTAATCGACTTTGAAATAGAGTGTTTTAGCATTACTAGATAAATAAAAAGAGAGTTTCCGAAGGAATGCATATTGTTTATTAGAATAGTGAATAAATATAAGTATTATTATAACGAACTTATTTTCCAAGTTTTACACAACGAAGTTTTCTTGAATAGTTGTATTTATGATATTTTTTTTTCTTTGTTCTTTATATTTTTTTGCTTCTGACGACGGGAGGAGATATACCTCGTGACGCGTTAAGCATATTTTGTCGGTTAGACGAATTCGAATTAGTTTTATTAGTAAAATACTACTTACAAATTAATCTCCATTAGATCAACGCAGTAGTGTTTACAAAAATGGCTTTCTTCTTTTGTACATTTCCTTCTAGTGGCAAAAACCCAGAAGTTTTTTCAAAAAATAAAAAATAAATATACTTTATTAAACTATGTATTCGCTATGATAATGTGGATTTCAGTACAAAATTCGTGTATTTGAAATGTTGTCATAGAGCGAAATCTCCATGACCGCATATTCCATAAGATGGAACCACTGTGCGCTGTACGCCTCATGTGGGGCCACGCACTAATTCTGTATAAAACTTTTAAATATAATAACTACAAAATGGAGAAAAACTCGCAAAACTTACTTGAACAAGTGATGTAAGATCACTAAGGTTGAATGATGTCGGAATAATTAGACCCATTGCACAATACCTGCCCAACACTCGTCCTTCTGAACCAGTATAATCGATATTAATACATTCGTCAAAATTTCCTAATTCTAATTTACTGGAGAAATTCATGCCAGAATAGGGTTTACTCCACGCATCAGCCACTAAAAATTAATCTTATTTAACAATAATAATTGTTTCCGTATTGGGAGTAGCAAGGTATAAGCTTGGCATTCCAAAGCCCAAATACTCATTTAAGGCCGAATCGAGATAGGTATATTTTATTAACAATATAGTCGGCTTATAGAATAAGCTGAACTAATAATCCTTTACAAGCTTAATTATTATTATTCTAGTCCGCTATGTGAATCCTATTTATCCATAATAAAATCTCATTCTTATAAAATATATACAGGGTGAGTTTCCTACGATGTTCTTTATGGGTATCTCGGAAACTACTGAAGATAGAGAGTCGGCTAAATGGGGAAAGAAGTGCAGTGTGGGGTCATAAATATGGGCCTTTCGGATATTTGAAAATGTTCATGGCTTACTAGATATTTCGAAAAAAAAATTGTGGCAATTTTAAAACTTGTCCCTGATTCCATTATAATCTATTTTAGACAAAAAGTTTTCAGATAAAAGTTGTAGATAACCACATAGCTAGCGAGTTTGTGTTTTCTGATTTTTTCTAAAGACTGTCATTTTTGACATATGACACAAACATATTTTTTTTAATGGAATCCATAGTTGGACACGACTTGCGACATAAAAATCGCAATTTTTTAAGCTTTTCAGCGATATAAGGTATAATATGTATATTTCGAAAAATAAATGTATAGCCAATTCTTATGTTTCTTTACTAATTTCACTTATTCTGTTGTGATTTATAACTTATAAAAAGACAGAATATATTATTGAATGGTTCTTTACAATTTACATTACGCAAACTGAAACTTAAAAAAAATAATATTACTACCCTATACACTTCAATTTATTCTAGAAAATGTTCTCACTTCAAGTGCCTCTCTTAATTCATCCAGGAGGCCCATTCAATCGGTCCACCTCTTCCAATCCCTGAGCTTGCATAATTATGATATATACAGGGTTGTTGTTCACTACATACGACACGGAATATTGTAGCTAAACGATTAGATTTTTACAAATCGTAAGTTTTGGGTTCGTTGAAGGACTATTAGAGTTACAATTTAAAAATAATTTTACAAGATACAGAGTGTCCCAAATTAGTAAAAAATATTATAGTTGTATTTTTTTAAATGGAACACCCTGTATATTATTCTATTTTTATATTCTACGATTGAAATAAAGGTAAATTTGATTAAGGTTTATCACACTTAAACCTTACCGTTTTTGAAATATTTTGAATTTTGTGAAATTGCAGTAAAAAATTTAATACTTCATTTCTCCAAGGGTATTAAAGGTTTTAGTACTAAATATTTACTGAAGTTTATATATTGATCAGATATTGTGCTGCAATAATAAAAATTATACTACCTTATACAGAGTGTCCAAAAATTTATATTAAATAATTATTAGCTTTAAACGGCAACAACTTGTTTAATTTAAATGGAACACCCTGTATATTTTACGTGAATCAGATGCACATTTTAATTGTCTATCAAATTGTATTATACCATTTTTACCTATCTCTTCAAGTTTTCGTAGAAACTGCATTTTCTTATAATTTAGACCTCATTTATCACTATACCCATGGAATAATGACATTTTAGACTTTTTTAAAGCAACATAATATGTACAAAATGTACAGATGGTAAAAACAATAATATTGCAAGCTCACTTGTTTACAAAAAGAAAACTATTTAAATCTTTCTAAAAGAGTAGGTACACCAATTATTACTAATTAATAAGATACCACCATTATTTCCGCCCAAAAATTAGTTAATTACATACTTAATAGTTTTAATTTATAAATTATTCTAAATAAATGTGGATTTGACTCAGAAATCAATACAATAATAAGTTATGAAAATGAACGTCTCTGTTATAAATAAGCATTCATCAAAAAATGAAATAAAATTTATAAGGTGTTGCTTTTTAGCACACTGTCTAATACACATACAAAATTCAGTTTTTTAGTATTTGGAGCAAATTATTAATCAACGCAAACAGTCATTTAATATAGTTTGAATACTGGGATCATATTTATTGGTCCTCTAACAAAAAGTATTTAAACAGTTTTTTTTATCTTTTAATGAAATAAGCGAACTATATCGATAATATTAGTATCTGTGCTTTTTGAAAATTTGGTACATCTTTAAAAATAATCCAAAATGTCAATATTCCATGGGTACAGTAATAAACGAGGTCTAAATTATTAGAAAATGCATTTTTACGGAAACTTGAAGAGATGGGTAAAAAATTGTATAATACAATTTGATAGACAATTAAATTGTGCATCTTATTCACTTAAAATATACAGAGTGTTCTATTTAAAATAAAAAAGTAATTGCCGTTTAAAGCTAGTAATTATTTAATATAAATTTTTAGATACTCTGTATAAGATAGTAATTTGTTTATTATTTCAACACAATATCTGATCAATAAATAAACTTCAGTAAATATTTAGTATTAAAAATTTCGACACCCTTGCAGAAATGAAGCCTTAACATTTTTGCTGCAATTTCATAAAATTGAAAATATTTCAAAAACAGTAAGATTTAAGTGTGATAAAGCTTAATCAAATTTACCTTTATTTCAATCGTAGAATCCAAAAATAGAATAATATACAGTGTTCCATTTAAAAAAATATTACTATAATATTTTTTACTTATTTGGGGCATTTTATTACATAGCACTCTGTATCTTGTAAAAATATGTTTAAATTGTAGCTCTAATAGACCTTCAACGAACCCAAAACTTACAATTTGTAAAAATCTAATCGTTTAGCTACAATACTCCGTGTCGTATGTGGTGAACAACCCTGTATAAATAATTCACATTTCTTTCATTATGGGGGGGAGGTGTCATAATGTCATGTTGGAACCAGTCTATTAATGCGCGACTATCTAAATTTAAACATGTCTTGAAAACCGTGCTCTGAAAAACGTAAGTAACGTTCACCGGTCAACGTATCCTGGAAAATGTATGGCCAAGAAAAGTTGAACCAATAATCCTACACGCTTTTCTTCATTTAAAAAAATCATATTTACAATTTTTGTTTAGTTTAATTTACAAAGTTTGGATGTGCCTGTTTTGCATTTCTGAAGGCAACGACGGGACGATTGAACTTGTTTCCATGGAACAACGTGAAATTGTTTTAAAATTATAAGAATTGGCTATAACTCAGTAATTTTTCGAAAAAAAACATATTATAGCTTATATCGCTGGAAAGCTTCAAAATGGCGCTTTTTGTGGTATCATGGCCAACTACGGTTTCCATTTAAAAAAACATATGTATGTGTCATATTATGTTAAAAATTACAGATTTTAGAAAAAAAACAGAGGACGCAATCTTATTAAGGATTGTCATTGATTATCTACAACTTTGATCTCAATTTTTTTTTGTCTAAAATAGATTATAATGGTATTAGGGACAGTTTTTAAAATAGCCAAATTCTGTTCGAAATAACTAAGGAAGGGACTAAGTTTTAAAATTGCCACAATTTTTTTTCGAAATATCTAGTAAGCCATTAACTTCTTCAAAAATCTGAAAGGCGCATATTTATGACCCCACAAAACTGCAATTCTTTTCCGATCTAACCGACTCTCTATCTCCAGTAGTTTCCGAGATACCCATAGAGAACATTGTAGTAAACTCACCTTGTGTCACTTCGAAAATTTTGGCATTTGGTCGCCACATTAAATTTTTTTTTAAGAAATCCTCGAGAGGAGCATCATCGGTTAAATCGTACAGATTAATATTATAACTACTAATCTCCCGGGGTAAGCTTCTCAAAACCCACATCAGGGGGAGACTGGAGAAGGAATTGACGAAAGGGGAGAAGCTCAACAAACCAGTCTGACTTCTGTAAAGGTCGTGATGAAGTTCCACCATAAATGCTTTGAATACGGTAGTGGATTATGTAAACCATTTTAGAGAAATGGCAAGGAAGGACCACGGCTATGCAATCCTTTATATTTAAAAAGAATTTAACTCCGTCCTGGAAGAAATTGTCAAACAGATGCACAATATGGATCTAAGCCTCTACCTACAGACATCATTGAGAACTATTCGAACCATCCATATATTACAACAGAGAGACGCAAAAGATATAATACCACATGTGGTGTTCAACATGGTTCGATAATGGAACCAACACTGGCGTATATGCGGATCACCTAGCAGTTATCATCGCTGCCTCCCTCGACAACTAGGTTAAAATGTAGCATTGAAATAGCAGCCATGATAATAAACCATAAACTCAATGTGATTGGTATTAGTATTGCAGCACACAAGACTGAATTAGTTATCATGTTAGGCCGCCGTAAAGCAGCCAGTATAAAAGCCAGTCATTGGAGGGGATAAAACATCTTCATGGAAGGCGGTGAAATATATAGGCGGATGATTGGGCGTCAACCTACAAAGAACTACTCACGCCAGGAAAAAGTTGGAGAAAACATAAACTATAATACATTAGCTTAGGAGTGTTGCACCCTTATAATTTTTTTTTAATTTTTCAGTTGAAAAAGCGAGATTTGGTATGTTAGTATATGACATAAATTAGGATTGATTGACGTATCCAATTGTTTTTGGTCACTTCCTGTTTCACCGGAAATGACTTACCATTTTACTTACCATTTTTGATTTTTAAATGGCATCCTCCGTGTTTTGAAAATTTGAAATGAGTATATATATCTTTTTTTGGTGTAAGTTGCTTTTTAAGGTAGGTGTTCCGTTCCGTTTGGCTACCAAAAAAAGGCAGAAGTTAGTAGCTACCTCTTGGTAGCCATTTTTCTAGATAATGTTCCATCTTCCCTAGTAAAGGATTGTGCACAGGTCTTGGTGAAACCATTGCTATACATATTCAATTTGTCGACTAAAACACACTCGTTTCCTGTGCTTTAGAAACTGCGCTAAGTCTGTCCCGTTTTTAAATCCGGCAATATAAACGACATAGAAAACTATAGACCAATATCTATCATATGTAACTCAGTGGCGGATTAAGGGGGGGGGGGGCGGAAGGGG